GAAAAAAAAATCAAAGAAAGAAAAAACTACTCCCGAAGTGTAGTGATTGAAATCTATTGTCAACCATGAAGTTTATGTACTATAATCCACAAATCTACAAATACTACAGACATAATAAATAACAAACTTCATAAGTTCCTCTCAATACCATTAGTACCTAAAAACAACAAAAACAAGGACTAAAAGTAAACAAAGGGTGCATGAAAGCAAAAGTAATATCAAATCAGATGAAAGATGGAAAAAGCTTGAAACATTGAAATGGGGTCATCTTGAAGCCATTGTTCCATCCTTTCCATGAGCTCCCTCAATAGCTCCTTTCACATCTCTAGTGGCCTTCTCATTAGTGGCTCCGCTCGCACTATCCTCGAAAATAGGTGATGGCAAATGTTAGATGCCAAAATGATCCTCTGTTCGACGAATATCTTTCATGGATCGAAACACTCCACTACGTATGCCTCCATGAAACAAATATCTTTCATGAGCCTTTTTCACTGAGAATGCATATCATGAGGTGGAGGTGGTAGTGTGGATGTCAAGGGGCCAGCCTTGCCCTTATCTCTAGGCGTCGAAGTAGAAGGTCCTTCTTATTTGGCCCAAGTGGTGTTTCTAGCTTGTTGACACCTTGGGTGAGAAATATTATCAATTCGGATACTTAACTCATTGAGAGTATATGCTTTCATCTCATAAATTGATTTTACGGGCACTTGATCCATTCCTTCAAAATTGACTCCCTCTCGTTCAAAAAGAAATGACAGGAGGCATAGAAACCTAAGCGATAATTCGTGGTAGTATGTATCACAACCACCCTCATATAATCGATAATGATGTTTGGGAGTGAAATGTGAGCAAATAGATAATTGTGGTATGGAACATCAGATCCAAAAAGTACAAGTCATTCTTTCGGACTTCATTCATGCTACTCTTCTTTCAGGCCACATTACGAGTGAACATGTATAAAGTGAGACGATGGGGTGGCTCAAAGTCACTTGCTATGATTGTTATCTTGTTAGAAGTTTTGGTGTATTGAGAAGTCTGTTGAAAACACTCAATAGCAAGAAAAGGATCCCAATGTTACTCTTTCTTCAAATCAATAGCTAGACCATCATCTCAACATCCAAGATGTCTTGTCAATATATCTCTGGTGATGCTAGATGCTCAACTGTTTGCCACAAACAAAGGACTGGATAACCTCTCTGCTATACCGGCCTTTATTTACTATATTCGCATAAAATTCTTTGACTTGTATAGGATAGATGTGATATGGTAAAAACAAGATTGGTGCCCACCCAAGAATGTTAAAAGCTTCTGTGATCTTAAATTCTGCATTGGCCTGCAGGACTACATGCATTTCATAAATAAAGTCCTTGCCTTCATGTACTTCACACCACTCTTGGTTCTCGTTAGAGGTGAACCTATTTACATCATACTTCGAAGGAGCTTAACGACTAGTTGAAACTCTTTTTTGTCCCCTCCTAGACAGTGAAAAGGGAAAAGGACTGTTAGTAGATGACTCCTCATGAATAATAGCTTGTCTTTGCCTTTCCATTGTACCTATAACATCCTAGAATAACCACTCTACTTCCCAAATTTTCAAATAATCATTCATCCCATAAATAACTAAAATATTTACAATAAAGCATATAACATCCACTATAAATTGATCAAATTATCATTTAAATGAATAAAGTATCAATTCTTGACATGACCACTTGTACCACATCACTATAGCAATAAACTACCATTTAAAATGTAAAATTGCGCCAATAAATAACCTTAATTCATATGTGCAAAATTAATTCTAAAAATCACTATAATTTGTCAAATTCTTGAACTATCAACATTTTATCCATCGATTAATCTCAAGATGAAAAATTAACATTAATAAACTCACTACAAGTCCTAAGAATGTCAAATTCTTCATTTATCAAATTTGAACCAAATTGGCCATTTGCTATCAAATTTTTTTCAAAATACCAATTTAAAACAAATGTAGCTATTTATCTAGTATCAATATGTCATATTTTGGCTAACTAATTCATCCAATAATGCTCAAAAACTTCCCAAGACCAATTTCCACAATTATCACAATATAGGAATATGCCAAAAATTAAAATAAAACATACATCATATTCTCACATTTAATCATATAAACATGTTTAGAGATGCTAAATAAGCATAATGGAACTCATAAACAACAACAAACAACATTAAAAGTTCACCATGCAAAACTTGTCAAAAAGCTCAAAAAATTCATACATGGCAACTTTTAATCTACCAAACTTTGGTGAAAAACTTATCTCCAATATGCAGAGTGATATTTGATGATGCAAATGATATCAAAAGTCCCAAAAATTTTGTCCAAATAGGCCCTCACTTGAGCAAATTTAGATTTGAAAACCCTAACTCTATGAAGCTCAAATCAAATTTTCAGGTGTTTTTGGTTGGTTAAGAGCTTTCTGCGGTGAATTTTACAAGAAAAATGGAAGAAAATGAAGATTGGTGAAGTGTGATGTGAGAGTATGCATATTTGGCTGAAGAAGAAAAAGAAGAGAAATAAGAAGATTGCCTCGCATTTTTCTTCTTAAGAAAACCTCGAGCAGATCTGCGAGATACACCAAGCAGATTAGGGTCGCGTTTCTACTCCAAATTCTCAAATATGGAAATGTGAGGCAATTTTTATCCAAGCATGATACGCGAGGCATTCCTCACAAATCTACTTTTTCTACATTAAAGTATAGAGTTCTCCACTTTTCCTATTTTTCACATGACTTCCTCATTTTTCTAAATATGATTCAGATCACTTTTTAACAAAGTTTAACACTTCAAACAGATTAAAATCATCACAAGCATAACTTCTAACCCTATTTTATGAATCATAAAAAATTAAAATGCAAATTGAGTGGATGACTTCTTCATTTTTCTTGTTCCTCACCAAGTTTCAAAAATAGACTTTTGCCTTAACTTTTCAACCCTACAAAACAAAATAACAAACACACTTCAAAACATATAAAAAAATATAAAAAACACACTAAAGCAAGGTAAAATTTTCAATAAATTAGATTTCCTCATAACAAGTGCTTTTGTTTAAAGTCCTTGTCTCGACTCAAAATACGTCTCTTTAAAAGAAGGTTCGGGAGCAATTTTCTCCCCAAGGATTGAAGCTTCGAAACCATCCATCTTGTGATGAGTTTTGCATTGGCCTCCATAATATAACACCCTCAAAGGCCCAGGAGGAACATTAGACATAACATAAGTAGACTCAAATTCACTTTTCAGTGGAAAATACTTACCTTCCTCAAGTCGACTCAACTTTTGACCTATTTTCTCTTGGTCTTGCAAAGGCATAGGCTTGTTTTTCTTTCTTTCCTTTGTTTCCTTTGCTCCTAAGCCATGAAAGTTAGTTTCAAGGAAATTCATTGATTTAACCTCTTCAAGCACCTCTCGTATGACATTCTTTTTACATGGCAATTTCGAAATAAGGTTAATTGGTTGTCTATCTCTATTTATTGAACAATTGTACTTTACTGCCTCATTATTAACCCTAACCCTAAATATTAGCTTACAATTTTCCACATCAATTAACATCCGTACCATGGCTAATAGGCATTTATATAGCTTTCTCTATATCTAAAATAATAAAATTTACAAGTATGATAAATTGTCTTACCCTTATTAGCACATTTTCTAAGACACCTATTAGATATATGATTGATCGATTTGCCAATTGCAAATTAATATTGGTAGCTTTGAGTTCTTTGAGTCTCAATTTTTGGGTAACCAATAGGGGAATAAGAAATACACTTACACTTAGATCACATAGAGTGTTAAAGAAATGCAAATGACCAATAGTACAAGATATTGAAAAACTTTCTGGATCTTTCAATTTGGGTGGGAGTTTGTTTTTAATCAATACACTACATTTCTCATTAATACTAGCATCTCATTATCCATAATCTTCCTCTTTTTTAACATAATATCTTTCAAAACTATGCATAGAAATGAATCTATGTAATAGCATCAATGCAAGAGATGTTAGTGTGCAATTTCTCAAAAATTTTGAGGAATTTTTCAAACTTTCGATCCTTGTTATTCTTCTTTAGCCTCTCTAAAAAAGGAATAGCATCAGAAGTCATGTTAGAAGGAAGAAAATCAACATTAATAACATGATCTTTTTGGTTATCCTTTATCCCTTCATTAGTTATTTCCTCATTTTTTCCCACTAGGTTCATCAAAACTAGGTCCCTCTAATATTTAATTACTTCTAAGATTGATATCATTGATATGTTCTCTCAGATTAATCTCGATCTTACTAGTTAACTCTCGTGGATGTCTAGGGTTAATGGCATTGGTAATTTGACCCATTTGAACCTCTGTATTCCTGATCATGCAAGTCATTTGGTCCATCCTTCTCTCAACTTTCTCAAACCTCTCATTTGTGCTTTCAGCATGTTTCTCAAGGGCAATCTCCCAATTGGTCATGACTCAATTGGTGCTTGTCTTGGTAGAAAGTTAGATGGAGTTGTTGGACGGGTTTGATTAGGTTGATCACTCCATCCTAAGCTGGGATGGTTTTTCTACCCAAGGTTGTAAGTGTTAGAATAAGGGCTGTTTTGAGGTGAACAATTATAGTCGTTAACATATTGAACCTGCTCAACATTGAAACAACTAGAATTATTATGATTTCCACCACAAATAAAACAAAATGTAACATTTACATTGCAACTTGTACCAATTCCATCTTATCTACTAAGTAAATTAATCACTTTATTCAATTGAGCATTTAACATATTAAGAATTTCTACTTCATATATGCCAGCCAGCTTTCTATGATTTCCTTTTTCATTTGCCCATTAGTAGTTATTGGTAACCATTTTCTCAATCAGTTGCTAAGCTTCCTCAACTGAGTTGCCCATTAATGCTCTACTTGCAGCTACATCAAAGTTAATCTTAGTAGGATTTGTTAAACCATTATAGAAGGTTTAGACTATTAGCCAATTTAAAAGTCCATGATGTGGTCAATTCTGTTGAAACTTCTAATGCCTCTCCCATGTCTCACATAATGATTCGCCTTCCAACTGAGAAAAACTGGTTATATCCATTATTAATTTAGCCATTTTTTCCAGTGAAAAATATTTATTTAAGAAAGCTCTTGAAAAATTCACTAATATAGTGAAAGTATTAGGTGCATGAGAGTTTAGCCACAACTTAACTCTATAACACAAAGGAAATGGATACAATCTAAGTTTAATAGCATCATCACTTACTTTATTTGACTTGATTGTATCACAAATTTCTAAAAATTGACCAAATGAGAATTAGGATCCTTAGTTGAGTTATCCCAAATTGATTTTGTTGGATTATTTAAATTAAGGTAGGTTTAATCTAAAAATTATTAGCATTTGTGATACTTGTTTGTGCTTCTGATGCATTTGGAAATGTAAAGTCTCTTAATGCTTGCTGATTCCAATTTACTCTTTCTTTCACTATTGATTCTAATAAAGGTAGCTCAACTGAAATCACACCTACACTTTTCTCTACTTCAGTAGCTTGTTGTTGTGCAAGATGTCTCACTTTCCCTGCCATTCTCTCGACTTAGAATCTAATGGAACTACAACACAGAGCGATTGGTGTATATGTTGCACAACAGTAAAACAAGAAAATTAGTAAAAAATACAACATATATATATAATAGAGAGTGAGAGGAAGAGTGAGAGTTGGCACCTAATTTACAAATAAAATTGCAAATTTAAAACTAAAACAAGTTTAGATTAATAAAACCTAATTTTTGCCCTAATATTAGCTGATCCCCAGTAACAGCACCAAAAACTTGATGTAATCAAGGATTTTAAATAATAAATCCTAATAATCTAATTATTTGATCCCAAATACCCTGCTTTATTTCACGTATAGAGGTCCGACAAGTATAGTGATAATTAGGGTCAATCACACAAGGAATCAAGTAACTACTACAGCTTTTGAACTTATTCTATTATCTAAACAACCAAGAATTCAAGTAAAAGTGATACAACAAATTAAACTACTTAAAATAGCAAAATAGCAAGGGGTGACTTAGTAGAACAAATTTCCTAGGGTTCATGAATCCCTTGTAACTCAAGATAAGTACTTAATTTGGTTGACTTATTAAGGAGATAACTTTCAAAATAATTTGTATATTGCTTTCACAAATAAAACAAACATACTTATACTAAGCCTTCACCTGTTTGCATGAAAAGTTAACTTAGTAAAAATTTGTGATGTTTAATGAAGTTATTAACTTAAGTCTACCTAAATCCATCTCCTACTAATGTGAACATATGATTTAGGATTCATGTATCTCGACCTAAATATGCAAGAAAAAGTTTCAATGCACAAACACACGTTTGGATGATTCATAGTTGGTGATCAAGCAACTACAAATATAAAGTATAGATACATGAACTAACAAATTCACAAAGTAGCCAAAATCAACACGAGTTAACACATATCAAGAAACTAGCAAGTTCATCTCTATCCTTATGAGGAAATGGATTAGCTAGACATGAAGTTTAGCATGTTTAAGCACATAATACTCGTATAGCAAAGTATAAGTAAACATAAGAAATTAAGAGTAAAAGTTGAAGAAATCCTATTTAATTAGATCAAACAAGCTCCTCAAGCTCCATTTTACAACTTTTGTTCTTCAAGTTCTAGCACAAGAGTAGTTTCTTCTACTAAAGATACCTCACTTTTTGCCCTCTACTACTTCCTCTGCCTAAGAAAAGCTCTATCTAAAGTCTCCTTTAATTTTATAATACAAGGATTTATATAGAAGAAAAATTTAATAGAAGATGCTCCTTGAGATTCCAAAACGATGCTTCTACAAGTCTCCAATGTGGCTTTTTTAGAATTTAGCCAAAATTTCTTTGAAAAAATTGACCTGTAAAGTTGTCTGAAAAGTCTACAAGTTCCAAAACAAGTTATAGAAATGTACAAGGGATCTGCACCCAAAACCACGAGGCATGTCACATATCTATCCCTTGCCTCTCTGAAGTGAAAACTTGAGCTTAGGGATACGCGAGGTAGGCTCGTGTATCTTCTTTCTAAGGATTGAAACTAAAATTTTGAACAAGATCCATAAGGCATGGTTCTTGTTTCCATCAACCAAGTTTGTGTTTCTAATTTTTCTTCACACTTCACATCAATTTCATGGCTTTTAAATTCTCAAAAACTGCTTTTACCTGAATCGAACAGCATGATATGTATAGTCTTCACAAATGAAGATCTGGCAACTTTTTTAACTGATTTTAAATTTTCCTTTTTCATGTTTGCTTTTTTGATTGATATTTGTAGAATTAAGTCATTTTCCATTCTATCAAACATTAATGTTTAATTGAATAGCATCTTATCATCTTCTCACTCTCCTTTTCTCTTTTAAACTCATTTTCTCCCCCTTCTCTCTCAATGTCTTTTAATCAAAGCCTTCTCCAACTCTCCCATGAGAGAAAGACCAAACAAATCTAGTCTTTTTCTTTATAGAAAGGAGTCCTCTCTTCAACCATTTTGTCTGTTTGAATAAATTTTCTCAAACCTAGTGAGAGTTTCTTCTCTCCTAAATTTTTTCAAGAGTTTCATTAGCACCTAAGAGTTTTTTATTTTTATTCTTTCTCATTTTTTAATGAGATTTGAGAGATTCTTAGATTTAGTTTTCTAGATCTGAAGTATCTTAATACCATACCTAAATCTTTTTTTAAACTATCAGATTTAATACTATCTTTGTGTTTAAAACGTTTTCTATCACATCTGGCTGTTAGACATGTATAGATCTATTTTGATGCAGTGTTCCATTTGAATGAAATATTCTTTTTGAAGTTTCAATTTTATCTTCATGTTTTTATCAATTTTTGATATTGATTGTATAGATTGATTTTCAGATCTATATGTATCTATGTTATGTTTGATGTATTTTTGGCTAGTAGTGCAAAAATTGCAACAAAATTATGATTTTCACTAAAAAAATTTTTTTTTATGGTTTCCAAGAAATGAGAAGTTGGAAACGAGTAAAAAACATGGGATTGGTTAGAATGTTCATAACAATGATGTAGGATGTTCAATATTGTGATAATGTACTTTGATTAGGGCCTTCTATGATATTTATTTTGACAATATTGATCCTTTTGATACAATTTCTTCTCTAATTTGGTGAGGTGTTATATGGTATAAATTTATATAGGGGCTTATATAAAAAGATCTAATTATAAGTGGGGATTTAAATGAGTCTAATCAAGCCAAGTATTCTAGTGTTTAATCTTAATCGATTATTTTAATAAGTTTAAAATTGTGTGCAAATTTAATTTGTTCATGAGCTTTTATTGAGTCGAGTTCAAGAAATCTGAATTTTCATGTGCATATTTCAAGTTTTATACTAATCAAATCAAGCTGAACTGAGCTCTAAAAAATACCAAATTCAAAATATTATTTGATTTAATTAGTTAGCGAACCAAGTTCAAATGAATTCTCATAGAGCCTAGTTCAATTTGAATATTGAGTAAATTGATTCATCTTTTGGTCTTAATTTTGTGGGATTCACAATGATAATAGAATTATTCTGTATAGCCTACTCTATTGAAGTGATTAACTCATTGAACGTTGAGGGTAGAAGTGTCAAAATGAGTGACTTGGGCAAGTTTGGGTAGGTTAAAATGGGTAATGGGTACAAGTGAGTCAATCCATTTATACTCATTTAATTAGATTGGTATAAATGGGTAAGTCAAAAAATGAATTGGGTAATCCAACTACCTATTTATAACTCATTTACTTTAACTTTTTATAAACTCATTTAAATTCATTTTTGCAAACTAAAATATCAATTTATACCACTATTTGCACCCATCATTAGTTTTAAATATTTACTTATAATGCTCAATAAGTCTAATTACCAATTTTTTTCCATCCGTACTTTATATCACAAAATTACATACTATTTAATAATTAAATAATAAGAATATAAAATTTGAAATAAGTATTATAAAAGTTAGCATAAAAACTTAATCCAAAAATTTTGAATCTCTAGTATTTTTCGTGTGTAAATTTAAAATTTCCTTTTGGAAAGGTGGGAAAAGAGGTTAAAACTTGTCATAAATTGGTAATGCTGAAAAATAAGCAAGTTAACAAACTAAGAGAAAATAAAATGATAAGATAAAATCAAAAATTAATAATAATAATAATAATAATAATAATAAAACAAAAGTAGTTAACATCATGACAAAATGAAAAATTTGGAAAAAAAATGATAGGGGAAGAGAGGAGGTTTGGGGGAAAACAATTCTAAATGGATTAATTAGGTTTGATGAGCTACCCAATAATATCCATTTATTAAATGGATATTATTGAGTAATCCATTTATACTCATATGCAAAAACTTTAGATAGTTATACCCATTTATTCATGAATGAGTATGGATAAATTTAATTAAATGAATTTATTTGCCACCTATAGTTGATGGTTTGATTAGATTTAGCAAAATTACAAGCCAGTTCATGCGCGCATAAAATTCGGAATACGATATTTGAAGTTTGAACGTTCAAGGAATGACTAAAAATTGAAAATTGGGCCGGCCAAAGCAGTCAATAGCCGACTGCGTTTTCCATTTGGTGATGGTCTTTCCGTACAAAGTTCTAGAAAGATGGGCACATTGCATCGGTGTTTTGTATTGAAAACGTTGTTGGGCGGTGACGTTTGCTCAATCCGCTGGGTCTCCTTGGGCCGAATGGCTAATAGACTGGAGTTGGGTCGATGCACTAATTATTAACAATAAATTTTCTTTTTCTTTTTCTCTTTTTGCAGGAGTTGGGTCGATGTACTAATTATTAACACCGGAGTTGGGTCGATTTACTAATTTTTAAGTTCCAAAGGTAAAAGTCGTCATTTTTAAAAAATTTAAGAGGTTGAACTTAAAAAATGAAAGGGAGGGATGGAGATTTGAATCCAAGAACTCTAATTTCTAATATCTCAATTTCAACCACTAGATCTCTTAAATCTTATTAGTAAAGGAGAATGGAAGGAAAAGAAAGGCAAAATTCAAAAAAAAAATTTCTATTCAAAATCATAGCAAATATCATGTTAAAGGAGA